TGGGAGTTGTGCTGTCTTTGTGAGCTCCTTAGGACCGTGGAGGTCCTATTTTGGCCACTCGACTGGAGTGGCAGCGCAGTGCGCGAACATGGTGCAGGTTGCACGGCCGTTGAGGCAGATGTCGCATTATTGCGTTGACAGCATGGGGCCACGTAACTCGTGGTCCACTCCCTGTGTGTCTTAAGGCCCGAGCAGGTCTTAAGATGGCTCCATCCATTGCATGTATTGCACCTAACCGAGGTGGAATTTGGATGGAGCCTTTTTGCGCATACGCAGCAGTAGAATACCTCGGGGCCCGGGTTGGACTCGATGCCAGCACGGGTCAGGAGGATACGGAGCAACCCTGCTGCTAGGCGTTGCTCCAGTGACGACAAACTTAATCTAAAACTTACCGATCCAAACAGGGTTAGATCGTCGAAATAACAGCCCTTGGCCGGATAAAATCCGGGTCAATTCCGGTATCGCAGAACCGGCTGTTGTGGGAATTGTTGAGGTATGCATCGCGACCTACGGTCTATTGTGCCCTCTTTCGTGAAATGTTAGTGGATATAAAAGTGAAAATATAAGTGTAAAATTAATCTGAATAAAAAAACGTACTTTAAATAGTTAAAATTTTCAACTTAAAATGCACTATCTCGAAAACTATAAGTTTCCCGCGTCTATATATACATATATATATTTTTGATCTGGAGGATCGCCTCTATTACCATGTTATTCCAGATTTGCTAGGACGGTTTTCTACAACCGATCTAAATTTTTATATATAAATGTTCAGAACAGCTGTTTTCTGAAAAATAATTTATGTATATATGTAGAGATAAATATATTTAACACACTGCACATATTTTTCAAATAACTAAGTTGTTGTTGGAGCGGCAGAATTTTGTAGAGCTGTGATCACATGTATGTAATGGCAAGTTAAAGTCTAAGCCCACCAGTGCGGAAAGGAGTTACCACTCGAAAGGACATGTGAACAGTATGTTAATTTAAAAAAAAAAAAAATTATATTGGTCGGAACAACACCGGGGTGTTCTCAATTCTTTCGCGTAGAAAAAAAGAAAACTTAAATAAAGTACCTTGGTCGATCCAACACCGGAATTCACTAAAAGATAGGAAAGGCTGAAAGGTTTTATGTTACTCAAAATAAGACGATTTAAAAAAAAAAATTTTAATAGATTTTCGCGGCCTCCTTTGTTGAGGAACCTAAACTATACATTTACCCAGATAATACCCCAATGACAGGAAATAAGTAACAAATTATTAGTTTTGCGTGTAGAAAAAATATTGGCGTTTTAAAAAATTAATCCTTGTCGGTCCAACACCGGGGTGTTCTCAGTTCTTTTGCGTATAATGTTTTTATGTTGGCAGCCTTCGGCCGCGCTTAAAAAAAATAACATTGGTCGGAGAAACATCGGGGTGTTCTCAGTTCTTTCGCTTGTATTTGTATTCATATTTTTATCGGCACGATTACGATTTATTTGGCGCTGCCAGCTAATAGTATGGACGGATTCATAGTTTTCGCGGCGAACTCTGTTCTGGGGTCGACTTTAGGTTACCATTCCATCACGGGATGAAATGGGTAAGGGCGGATAGAGGATGTTGTCCTAGTTTTCGAGTTATTTGCGTTTAAAGTTGAAAATATCAACGATTTATGGTCGTATTTTGTCGATTGTCACATTATATAGTGCTAAAATAACTTTAATTTAATATTTAATTTATTGGTAAATTATGTTTATTCACACAATAACAAAACGGTTGAATACTGACAACAAGTATTACCATACTAGTATACTAGGTGTACCGGTTTTATGTAAATGAAATACTAATTTTGAATGGGAATGTAAAAAAAAATTTATCCAAAGTATTGATCATTGCACTTTACACATTATGACCACCTCTTTGGAAATTTGTGGATACCATGACAATATAAATGTTCGTCATTTGAAGCAAACAAATCAGACACCAAATTTTCGACTTCTGCGTACGAACCTGCTCAGCCAATGCGTGCCCATCGATGAAAACAAATGGTAATAGGAAGGGGCTAAGTCTGGTGAATACGAGGGGTGAGGAAGGTACTTTGATTCTATCTTGAACCGATTTAGCTTTGTGTACAGGTGCATTATCGTATAACAAAATTACTTTGCCGTGTCTTCTGGCTCATTCTGGTCGTTTTTTTATCAATGCATGGTTCAAATTGATCGTTTGTTGTCTGTAGCGATTAGTATTAACAGTTTCACCAAGTTTTAGAAGCTTATGATATACCAAACCTCTCTGATCCCAACAAACACAGAGCAAGTATTCTTACCGAATCGATCTGTTTTTGCAGTCGATGTTGATGGTTTTCCCGGATTAACGCATGATTTTCTCTCCTTAGGATTCATCAAATAAATCTATTTTTCATGGCCAGTGACAATTCGTGCAAAACTGATTTTGAAGCAAAAATTCAAAACTGTTTTTCGGTTTTCCATTTGTCTTTCATTCAATAGGCACCCATTTTCCTTACTTTTGGATCCTTCCCGGTCTGATATTGTTTTTTGTCAAACATTTACCATGGCTGCAACTCTGCAACACTTTTCTTCAAATAGAAACAAAAAAGTAATGCTTTCCGCAAATTATCACTTTCCGGTGCAAAATTTGATATTTTCAACACAATGAAAAAATATAATGTTGTTTGTTCAGTGATTGTAAAGTCACACAAGTTATGTGGTTCCATGCACACAAGAAAGGACCTGCACGGCCCTAAAGAGCTCACCACGATCTTTGGCACTCCTGCCTGTCAAACGATCGTAGGGGATGGAGCTGGCAGAACAGATAGACGATTCGACATTCTGCACAATGAATGACCAAGCCTCCACCGGAATTATATGCATTTGTAATAGCTCGCCGGATATTACCATCGCTAGCGGTGGTCTGATAAATAGCGTAACCTGGCGACCTATGTTGTTGTTGTAACGGTTACCTAGTCCCCGTTTGGTTGATAAATTCCAGATTCGTTGTCGTCGAGGTCATCTAACGGGAGGCCCAGGAAACGAGCTGTTTCGACGGGTCGGACCATAGGGAGAAGGGTGTTAGATGGGTGGGGTTTGTTGGGCATGCAAAGAGGTGGTTAGTGTTATGCGGAGACTCGCAGGACAAGTGTTTAGTATGTCGGGGTCTATTCTGGATAAGTAGGAGTTTAACCTGCTACAGTATCCGGAACGAAGTTGCGCGAGGGTCACTCTGGTTTCGCGAGGCAACTCGAGCTCTACGTCTGCTATGGGTGGTGGTTTGACTCCTATTACGCCATTCACTGAGAGGGAGTCTGTGAAGGTGTTGATGGCTAGACTGTGAATGGCGGTCAGTGCCTGTCTAAAGTTCGTTGCGTCCGAAGTCCGGTCGGCGTACTGTCTAATACTATGTTCACACCGACACGAAAACCGTGTTTTCATCGACAAAAGAGGTTTTCACGCGAAAACTCGTGTTTTCATCCATACAAAATTTGTCAAACGAAAACACAGTTTTCGCTGAAAACCCCTTGAAGACTTACATTCCACTCATTATAATCGGTGCCTGCTCTAGTTTAATCGATATTATTGGAAGACATATTTTGCCAGCCCTAAATGTCACTTGACAATTTGTTTACATTCCATAATTGTTCTGTGATTTTGCTTACATTCAAATGGCGAAAAAAGTGTATAAAAGAGAAATTCGTGGGTGAGAGGGAGAAGCCTTCTAATAGAGTTACGGGAAGAAAAAGTTTGTGCGCTTGAGGCCAAGGAAAATAGCCACATTTTGGAGGAAATGGCAGTGGAGCTGCAGCAGCAAGGTGTCACCTTCACGGCGGCAGAAATAAAAATGAAAATGCACAATCTGTCGCAAAGATTTAGGTAAATAAAATTGAACAAAAATAAATATTAAGTTCTACGAACTCAAAACCGATGGAAATTTCGGTGGAAACGGCTGCGTCTTCAACATTTGTTGCTGCATCTCCACTGCCATCACCTGTGTTGCATCTCTTCGCCCTCAGCGATGATAATGTCACCAACCGCGTCGTCACCCGAGCCGATAGATTCTACAAAAAAAGGAAAACAATAATTTTGAAAGTTTCAATAAAAAATTGAAAAATATTGAAAAACAAATGAAGACTTTAATATAACTAATGACAAATTTTTAAAATGATCAGAAACATTGGTCGAAAACGACAATAAAAGAACAAAATTAATTGAAGAATTTGTAAAGGATACAAAAATAAATAAAGTACTTCTTGATTTGTTAAAAAAATAAAAGTAAATGAATGTGTTTTATTTTGGAATATGGTTATGCCGCCTTAATGAGTTCAGCCTGATAATATACTTAAAATTATTTTTACTTGCCAAAATATGTACAAAGTGTGCCCGTATAGTTTCCGTTAGTTGGGTCGTCACACGCATATGAAACATGACTCGGATTTTGTCGTCTAGCTCCCAACTCTTCAAAGCACGTAACCATCTAGCGTTTAAAGTATCGTTGTTTTCATTTAAAAAATTGTGAAGGACGCAACAGGCTTTTATTATTAAATTGGCATTACGTACAGAATTGTCAATTCCTTTCCAATTCGTCGAAGCGGGCCTTGAGGTGTCAAGGCATTTTCGACAACTCTACGTGTTTTCGAAGGGCGTAGTTGAATACCTTTCACGATGATTTTATTTACGCTAAATGGATAGGTTTTCATTAGTTGTTTGCTAAATCGAAAAGCCGAATCCCCAATTATAAAAACTGGCACATTTACGCCTGAAAATTTCACGAGACATTTATCCTTAGTAAAGGACAATTCTGTATTTCTGCTTAAGTGACGACTTTCATAATTTAGAGTCATACATCGCCGGGACTCCCAACGTTTATGTAAATAAACGGTATCTGAAAATACAATTTATAATTACATATGTACTTATATGTATATTGTGTTTCTAAACTTTACTTAGCATCAACTAATGCAATAAAACGGTGGAATACCATCCTTTGTAATTATATAATCACAGCATCTTCAGATGATAAGTGACCTCAATGTGGCATCCGTCTGTAAACAATTATTAGACCAATGGCGTAAATATATGATTTTATAACTAATATTTACCAATTGCTCCTAAGCATTGTGGGAATCCAAGTACCTCGAAACCCGTCACCAATTCTGTTATGCTTTCTCTATTTAATGGCAGCATTTTGAAGCAGGATGGTTGCATCAATCTCCAGATTTCGGTGCGAAATTCCAGCAAAATTTTGCAAACCGTAGATTTACCTACTCCGAACATATTAGCGATACTCCGATACTCCGCAGATGAGCCTAAAGCAAATATTGCTATAGCTACTCTTTTCTCGAGCGGAATAGCTCTTCTGTAGTTCGTATCCATTTTTTGTAGACACCGGAAATTTTCGCATAATTTTTTAAATGAACTGCGGTTCATGCGAAAGTTTTCCTTAAAAAAAACGGATCCATTTCGTTGGCAATCGTGTTCCCAAAATTGATTTTTGCGTTGCTGGAATTATTGATATTTAATTGAAGTTATGCTTCAGTAGAAACCTATACAAACCTTTGTCCAACATGATCTAATCGGCATCCTAAGGTTCTTTAATACACATAACAGAATTAAACGTTTTTTGTTCAAGTCTTCAATTTTTTTTTAAGGCGAATGTGCTGGGTGCTAAGAACTTCTATCGATTCTCTTAAAGAATCGTCGTTGCTCAATAAATTTATTTGGCTTCTCAAAGCCAACAATTTCGCAATTAAAATTTTCTCGGAATTCTATAAAACAAACAATAATAATTATAAGCAAATATTTAAAATTCTAAAACTTACCATTCTCGTTGGCCTAAACGTACGTAACTAATGTAAACAAATAAATGTGTGAACTGTCAATGAAAACACAAAATGTCGGTGTGAACGACTTCGGTTCCACAATCCACAAATTGTGTTTTCAAGAGGTTTTCAATTTGGTGCGAACATAGTATAATGTCGTCGACGTAGTCAAGGAAAGACCTCTTGATGTTCCTAGGAGGTGGCTCGGCTACAGTCAGGCGACTACATGGGTGGTTTCTACGAAAACACCCCAGTAGAAACTGCTTGGAGAGGAGTTCGTTGTGTTCCTTAACCGGAAGCATACGGGCCTCACTATGTAGGTGTTCGATTGGAGACATCAAGAGGCATCCCGTGATAGTTCGGAGTGCAGTGTTCTGACAGGTCTGAAGCTTCTTCTTCTGCGTGTCATTGCATCCAGGCGACCATATTGGGGCTGCGTAATTTAGGACCGGCCGGCCGATTGCCTTGTATGTTGCCAACAACGTTTCTTTGTCTTTTCCCCAAGAGCTGCCGGCAAGCGACTTGAGGATTTTGTTGCGGCTCTGTACTTTGGCAGTTATTGCGGTCGTGTGAGGAGTGAAAGAGCAAAGACTGTCCAAAGTGACAACTAAAATTTTAGGATTATTTACTGTCGGAATTTTTGCGCCATCGACTGAAATATTCAGGTCCAGTCTGTACTCCTTCGTCCAATTTGTGAAGATGGTCGCTGTGGATTTAGTGGGAGAGAGTGTTAGGCTCCTTGCAGAGAAGAAGCGAGAAAGATCGGAGAGGTAGCTGTTTACTTTTGAACACATGCCATCGATTCCATTTCCCGATGTCAATATCGTACAGTCATCAGCGTACGAGGTCACTGAAATTCCTCTGGTGGCTGGGGGAGTTTCGAAATATAAAAATTAAACAGTAGTGGTACGGATGAATGCCGACCGCTCAGGTAGTTCATAGCCCTGGAGTGAGCGTTGATTGTTCTAGGTCCTCAAGTACCGTTGTGTGATTGACTGTGTCAAAAGTATTTGACAAGTCCAACGCTACGAGGATCGTCCTCTCGCAGGGTGGCTTCTGGTTCAGGCCATGAACTATCTGGGCGTATATGACGCTAAGTGCTGTGGTGGTACTGTGCACTTTTCGGAAGCCATGCTGATGATCTGCTAGGTTTAGGTGGTGAGTGGATGACGGGAGTAACAAGGCCTCAAGTGTCTTCGGGTATTTGAAGAGTGGATATCGACAGGTTGAGGACCTTTATGAGATAATTTACTCCCGTTGGGCCTAGGTGTTTTAGCATCAGCATGCTTATTCCGCCAGGGCTATGGTTGATTAGACTGTTTCGCCTTTTTGATGACACCTGAGACCTCCCATCGGTGAAGTAAGTGGTGCGCAGGTCTTTTGGCATTTTGCGTAGCCGTCGGGTAACACGTCGTTTGGCCTTGTCGTCGAAGGTGCAGTGTAATTGAGCTGATTAGCTCGCGCACTTCTTCGGGTCCGAGGAGGCATGACCATCGAATTGAATTTCAACCCGATCGTCATGTCTTTCTGGATTGGACGGACCTTTACAGTATAGTCCAAAGCTTACTCACACCGGTGGAGAGGTTGCAGGACTTCAGGTGCTTTAATCCTATTTGTGTGGGCTTATGTTTGGTACCATTTGCCGAATCTCAAATTGAGATCCCTTATTCGGGGATCAGGGACGGCATGGCGTAAGGTGTCCGCGCTCGTTTGCTAATACAGCTGCTTGGCTGGGAAATTAGGGCGGAGTTCCGCGATTCTTCCAGCCGGTATTGAAAGCGAGCAGTCAGCAGTTGGATTACCTTGCGGAATTGACGCTCACGACGATGACGTCCGTGGAATGGATAGTGCGTTGAAGGTGCTCTCAGTAAATTCTGTGAAGCCGACCCAGTTAGCTTTGTTAAGTTAACATAAGTGCGGTTGTCCACAGAAATAAAGTCAGGAGTTCTCGATCGAGATAATTATGGGCAGATGGTCTGATGCAGAGTTAGCATAGGTCGCCTAGGTTTATACTATTTATCAGACCATCCGCAGATGATGGTAATATCTGGCGAGCTATTACAGGTGCCCATAATTTTGGTGGGCCTTCGTCATTCATTGTGCAGAATGCGAATCGTCTATCTGTTCCGCCAGCTCATCCCTTACGTCTTTGACGGCAGGAATGCCAAAGATCGTGATGCGCGTTAAACCGCCTAGCACCAAACGTTTTCACCACGAGTGCGCATCTATGTTCGGGTGATATCCTGTTGGGCAACATGTAAGGGGGGAAGTATATGTTAAATATTTCGAGCTCGACATCGCCTGACCGGACAGCTATACCCTGACATTCTGGGTAGTGTCCCTACGGTCGATGTCAGCATCGATAGACGATACTGCACGGTGTTGTGCAATATGAAGGCTAGGCCTCCACCATTATCTCGCTCGCGATCCTTACGTAAAACGTTGAAACCTGCAGCAACTCAGAAGATTGAGAGGCTGTTTAGCTTGGTTTCGGACGAAAGTGACACAGCCAGTGCAAGAATTGCACTTGACTGATGAGACATTCCGGCGTATTGTGGTCGACACACGGAACAGACTGTGCGAGGACCAGGAGTTGCTGGGTGGTTCTCGCACGGGATTGGAGCTGGATGAAGGTTGGGGGTAGGTTGGTCAGACTGGAGTCATGCTGTCTTGTGAGGCTCCTTAGGGCCGTGGAGGTCTATCTTTGTCATACCTAGAATGTCAGGGTATAGCTGTCCGGTCAGGCGATGTCGAGCTCGAATATTTAACATATACATCCCCCAGTTACATGTTGCCCAACAGGATATCACCGAATATAGATGCGCTACTTCGTGGTGAAACCGTCTGGTGCTGAGGCGACTTTAACGCGCATCACGATCTTTGGCATTCCTGCCTGTCAAACGATCGTAGGGGATGGAGCTGGCGGAACAGATAGACGATTCGACATTCTGCACAATGAATGACGAAGCCCCCACCATTATGGGCACCTAATAGCTCGCCAGATATTACCATCGCTAGCGGTGGTCTGATAAATAGTTATAACCTGCGACCTATGCTAACTCTCCATCAGACCATCTCCCAGAATTATCTCGATCGAGAAACCTCCTGATCTTTATTCTGTGGACACCGCACTTATGTTAACTTTAACAAGCTAACTGGGTCGGCTTCACAGAATTACTGAGAGCACCTTCAACGCACTATTCCATTCTCGGACGTCATCGTTGGTGGCGTCAATTTCCGCAAGGTGATCGCTCTGCTACTGTCGCTTCATACCGGCTGGAAGAATCGCGGAACTCCGCCTAATTTCCCAGCCGAAGCAGCTGTATTAGCAAACGAGCGCGACACCTACGCCATGCCGATCCCTGTGATCCCGAATAAGGGATCTCAATTTGGAGATTCGGCAATGGTAAATCATCATAAGCGACAAAATGGATAGAGCACCTGAAGTCCTGCACCTTCCACCGGTGTGAGTAAGCTTTGGCTACTGTAAGGCCTGTCAAATCCGAGAAGACATGACGATCGGGTTGAAATTCAATTCGATGGTCATGCCTCCTCGGACCCGAAGAAGTGCGCGAGCTATTTCAGCTCAATTTACACTGCACCCTTCGACTGACAAGGCCAAACGACGTGTTACCCGACGGCTGCGCAAAATGCCAAAAGATTGCGCACCACTTACTTTCACCGATGGGGAGGTTCAGAGTGTCATCAAAAAGGCGAAATCGTCTAAATCCATTGGCCCTGGCGGAATAAGCATGCTGATGCTAAAACACCTAGGCCCAACGGGAGTAAATTATCTCACCAAGGTCCTCAACCTGTCGATATCCACTCTTCAAATACCCGAAGACACTTGAGGCCTTGTTACTCCCGTCATCCACTCACCACCTAAACCTAGCAGATCATCAGCATGGCTTCCGAAAAGTGCACAGTACCACCACAGCACTTAGCGTCATATACGCCCAGATAGTTCATGGCCTGAACCAGAAGCCACCCTGCGAGAGGACGATCCTCGTAGCGTTGGACTTGTCAAATACTTTTGACACAGTCAATCACACAACGGTACTTGAGGACTTAGAACAATCAACGCTCACTCCAGGGCTATGAACTACCTGAGCGGTCGGCATTCATCCGTACTGTTTCGAGGTCAAAACTCTAAACTTAGGAAAATTAAACAGGGGGTTCCGCAGGGCGGTGTCCTCTCCCCACTACTGTTTAATTTTTATATTTCGAAACTCCCCCAGCCACCAGCGGGAATTTCAGTGACCTCGTACGCTGATGACTGTACGATATTGACATCGGGAAATGGAATCGATGGCATGTGTTCAAAAGTAAACAGAGGTAGCTGTTCCGATCTTTCTCGCTTCTTCTCTGCGAGGAGCCTAACACTCTCTCCCACTAAATCCACAGCGACCATCTTCACAAATTGGACGAAGGAGTACAAACTGGACCTGAATATTTCAGTCGATGGCACAAAAATTCCGACAGTAAATAATCCTAAAATTTTAGTTGTCACTTTGGACAGTCTGTGCTCTTTCACTCCTCACACGACCGCGGTAACTGCCAAAGTACAGAGCCGCAACAAAATCCTCAAGTCGCTTGCCGGCAGCTCTTGGGGAAAGGACAAAGAAACGTTGTTGGCAACATACAAGACAATCGGCCGGCCGGTCCTAAATTACGCAGCCCCAATATGGTCGCCTGGATGCAGTGACACGCAGAAGAAGAAGTTTCAGACCTGTCAGAACACTGCACTCCGAACTATCACGGGATGCCTCTTGATGTCTCCAATCGAACACCTACATAGTGAGGCCCGTAGGTTTTCGTAGAAACCACCCCTGTAGTCGCCTGACTGTAGCCGAGCCGCCTCCTAGGAACATCAAGAGGTCTTTCCTTGATTACGTCGACGACATTAGACAGTACGCCGACCGGACTTCGGACGCAACGAACTTCAGACAGGCACTGACCGCCATTCACAGTGGAGCGATCAACACCTTCACAGACTCCCTCTCAGTGAATAGCGTAATAGGAGTCAAACCACCACCCATAGCAGACATAGAGCTCGAGTTGCCTCGCGAAACCAGAGTGACCCTCGCGCAACTTCGTTCCGGATACTGTAGCAGGTTAAACTCCTACTTATCCAGAATAGACCCCGACATACTA